AACCAGTGATTGATTATTACCTCCGCCGGTGTTTTCAGTTGCATGAAAATGGCAATTTTTGACCAACAATGTGTATGTATTCCTACAATATTCTTCGCAATTAATGGTTTCTTTCGAGATACCTTTATATCTCCGCATGCTTGCTTCTCAAGTCACAAACAATCTCGGCAGTAGTGCAGGTCAATGAATCTGCCGACGAACAGTCACTTTCATCTCAATAAATTGTACAACAAATAACTTGATTTTGGAAGCGGAGAATTATCGAGTTACAAACAATTTAATCCAGGCAGTGACGCAGCTCAATGACTATGTTGACGATTCTATTTACTATTATTTGCTTGATTCCATTAATTCTCTATTACATAGAGGTGATCAAAATGACAAATTGGTTTGAAATGGCACATTTACAGAAATTTGCACGCGACATTCTATCAACAAATAAATACACAAATAAAAAGTTCGTTGTATTCCAAGTTCATTCGCTCGTTTGAAGCGCTGTAGTGTCTGTACACACTGTAATCGTTGGTAGTTTCAATTTTAACCAAACGTGGCCACGGCGCAGAGCCAGCAATTCATAACCACAATGAAATACTCCTTCTTCGTTCGTTAACATTTTAATTCCGGGCGAGTTACAAGCTCGTTTCTCGCGCCGTTTCTCACTGAAAAATGAATACCCGGAGATTTGTATTTCTGCGAGCAAACAAAGCTTAAATACACGATCTGCCGCGTCGTCGTCCCTGGTCTGAATTGCAAAGGTCGTGGGGGGAGGTCCAGCAAGAGAAGTCTTCCAACGGAAGAAACCCCATTAAAGGGGAACGATGTTATTCATCGCTCGGGTAAACATCGCCAGACAGGCAGGCGAACTTTCTTTTTTTTTTTTTCAACCAGGCGATATTTGCCTGGTTGGCCAGCGCCGGCATCAATCTGCGCCTTCTAAAAAGCCATTAAAAATTCCATAGGTGGCGAGGCTTCCACTGACCTCTTCGACTGCCAGCCTGCTACCCCTTTTCATCCCTTTCACCGTCCACTCACCGACTAACCTTGCACCGCGCGGCAGAATTTCAGAGATGCTCCGAGCATCAACGCGAATTTACGCTGAAACTCCCGCGGAGATTCTCCCACCTCGAGATCTCTGCCCGACTCTGCAGGTTCGCCCACTTCTCTCGAAAATTTGAACGTTTCTCACGGGCTCGAAGCAACTCACAGTCTCTCCTTTAAATTTGCCGCGCGACCTTTCTCACACGAAGAGTTTTTTCACGCAAGAGTTCGCTCGAGATTCTCGATCGAACGTTCGTCGCGTGTTTTTTACAAGAAGATTTGGAAACACGAGAATTTCGTATGTAATATACGAGGTTTTGAGGAAACAGTCACTCTTGAAATTGTGGATCGAGCAACTTTTTTCAAAGAATAGAAACTCTCCGCTTGTAGAGTCCCCGAGGAGATAATTGATACATAGGAAACGGTGGCGAGTGACGTCCACGTCTTGCAAGTGTGCCCCAGCCACGTGCATATTTCATACTCATCCGTCATGGAGATTAAGTGGCTGCCAACACGTGGATATCCTACGAAGCAATTTTCAAACCAAAGATCTTTCTCCACTCTTTTCTTTCAGTCCCTTTCTCTTGTTTCAACTTGCTAAAAATGCTACTATTTCCCCGCTTGTAGGCCGTGATAGAAACTTATTTCTTTGAGCGCAAAATATTAAGAAATTAGAAAAAAAAAAGAAATTTATGGCAAAAGAGAATGTAACACGTCGAGAAATGGTTACACAGGTCAGTGAACTTCAAGAACGGAGACAACAAGGATTGCTAACCGCAATTGTGTAAGTTAAATTACGTAAGTTGAAGTGGCTTAGAAAAAGAGAATCGTTGCAACTTCTGATGAAAAGTTCCCGGAGTCGGGTAGAGCTAAATAAATTGCCACGTAATTTCTGTTCGCCGCTTGTCAAGCTGTGCAACCATCGTTCATGAACGTTAGAACACTCGGAGGAAAATATTATACGTTTGATAAATCGTTGGGAATTATTAACCACCCGCCGCAGAATATTCTTCTCGGTTAAAAATCCAAAAACTAATAAAGTATCGTCGTTCAGTATTTCTTTCTTTCTTTTTAAATAGCGTATCGATGGACTTATGTAAATTATTCATCAGGTTCCGACCATCCACGATAAAATTTAATTACATAAAATAATCATATAAATTTCATCGAAAGGAAAACTAAACGTGTAACAAAAGTTTTGTCGTAAAAGTGAAACGATCGGTCTGAGAAAACTCTCACAATTTGATATCTTTAGATCAGCGATTTTGATCGTCAAGCTATAGGAAAATTCCAACGAAAACTCCAATGGAAATTTTAATTGGATGATTATTTTTTTTAACAATCTACATCAATGTATCAACCGTGTAATTCATATAAAACGAGTGTCTTAATATTTGCGAATAAAAGCTCGCTGCATTCAAACGACGCGACTCGCGCATTCGCAGGAGAGAATGGCCAACCTCTGGAAGTTTTCTAACGAAAAAACCAACCAGTGATAGGAGGGAAAAAACGTTTCAACTCGCAGCATTAAATGGACACGGGCGGCTTTCAGTTAGCTGACAGAGTTTCGCGAGAAAGACAAAAATCAGACCGAGCCTCTCTCTCTCTCTCTCTTTGTTTCCATGCCTTTTCCCAAGCGGTAAAACAGTGGGAGAAACTGCAGTAACACGAGCGGATGATATTAATTCCCCGGTGTTTTGTTTCGATTGTTCGGGCACTTCTTTCAGCTAACGAGAAGGAATATGCACGTGGACAGAATATCCGGGCGGATTCAAAGTTCTCCCTCGTGTAATTTCGTGGTAACGTGCTCCCGGAGAGCATCAATCTCCTTTTTTGTTACTGCTGCTTCGAGAGATCCAGACGGCCCCCTGTGTCAGTTAGTCCTTTAATAGGTGTGCAGATTTTTCGTTAAAAAAAAAAAAAAAAAAAAACAACTTAAAATATCGTAGTTGAAAATTCTCCAGTTTGTGACCCAATCTGGGTTCAGATTGCCACGTGACACGATTAAAAGTTTGAAAATGATTTGAAAGGGGGGAAAGAAGCGTTCCAAGAGCGTGCGCGGGTGAAATTTATCTTTAAAGCTCGATTTAAATTCAAGCTCGAAACGTTTCATCTCGTTTGAATTAAATTGAAATCGAGCCTCTCGTTTTTATTGCTCCTTCTACTTCGGTTTCCACGCGACACACAGCATCACGCTCTTCGAATTAAAAGCCTGTTACCGCTATGCTCGCGAAACAACATCGTTCTCCTCCATTTTCTGAACGAAGCAACGTTTAAATTTATTTACTACTAAAAAAAAAAAAGAGAGAAAAAAACGGGAAAAAAAGCACGCCAAACTTTTTTTTAAGCGAGAAACTGCGAACTCTAACTCCGTCATTCTAATCCGAAATTTTCAAGCTCAAATTCAATTCTATTTAAAGCGTCGGCGTCCGTCAGATTCCCCTTCGCATTTCATCCTCCTCCTCATGCTCGAGATAACCGAAAAAGAAGCGAAAGCTGACCGAAGACACATATACACACTCGTATTCACGCTCGTTTCTACCTCCGTGCACGCGTCAAATTATTATCTAGAATTCGATGCAGTTTCTCGCGAAGCACAAAAGCTACGCGTGCTCCTCCAATTCCTACCCACGTTGCCGCGAAAACATCAAACGGAACGTGAAATTCGCTGCGACGAATATAAAAGATTCATCATTTCGTTATGGAACAATCTCGAGCGGCATCATTATCGCTCTGTTAGTTCTCGTCGTCACTAAAAGATCCTCAGTTGATAATTTTTCAAGGAAATTTTGTAAACTACCGCTGGAAAGTCTACAATTTGATGAACAGTTGCCTAATTTTTCACTCTCTCCGCGCACGTAAATTCCATTCGGGATTGAAGGGTGAATTTTTTAATTCAATTCTGAATTTAGGAACATTAAAAAATTCGCTTCGTTATTGCATCACCGCATTCATTGAATATCAAAGTCATTGCGAAATTCATTATTTATTAAACGAAATTCAAATTTTGATACTTGGATTAACTAGCCAATTAACACGCTATTCTATATCCAACATTATTTATTCCAATGCGCGTTGAAATAAATAGATTTAATATTTATTAAATTTATTGAACAATTCAGCCTCTAATTCTCCAAATTTTGATCTAATCTTTCAATTTTTCAACCAGACGCTGCGTTCCAAGGAAAGTATCCAACTTAACCTAATATAACTTCTAAGTGTGTTAAAACTAATAATTTCAACAATTAACAATTTTATCAATATTTTTATAATCCACTCGCCAATAATAATTAAACACAGCCAAGCTCGTGTTGGTTTTTATAATAACATCTAAATAAATTAATCGTAAATAAACGAAAAATTATAAATTCTTCACTTTTCCAACGTGGCCTAATACTTTTCTACTCGAGATTTAATATTCGTTCGATTTACGATGAAAAAAATATACGATCAAATTAAGAAAGATAAAGATAACTTTGGAAATTTTCGGAATTCATATTTTCCCTCCCTTAAAACTACACAACTTTTATATTAAACAACTTTTCATTAGCATGATTTAAAAAAAAGCACAAGTTATTTCAGGTGTGCACGTGAATCACCCTGTGGCCACTGAAAAACCGGAGAGTTTGAAAAATTCATAAAAAGGAAAATTTTAATTAATAAAAATTCACACACAATACTGAAACATCCGAAACATCCATTAACAATATTTCCAAATAAAATAACAGGAAATTTAAGAAAATCATGTGTTTGTAAAAGTTATCTTTTTCAGTGACCATCCTCTATTTCTCTTTATATCACTGAACGACGTCTACCTGGAACGTGCGTGAAAAATGATACAAATCGGCAAACTTTCCGATCGATGGATAGTTCGAGGGTTGGAGAAAAATATCAGAGAATTCAATTCGCTCCAAAAACGAAAGTCAGTCTACCTTCAACTTGCCGCGTGGATGTATGCTTACCTTTGGGTAATGGATCGAGATCGCGGACGTGTACTGGAACGTCAGGCTTCCCGGGTAGCCGTAAAACGGTATCGTTATGATCGGCGTATGGGAATCGTCGAAGTAACCGAAAGCCAGTTTGCTGCCGCTCGGCGAGAACCATAAAGCCTTGTTCGAGCCGAACACCTCCTCTGAAATGGAACGAACAATCGTTAGACCGCGGTTTACGATAACACGCTACATATTGTCTGCGGTTGTTCCGCGTTCATATGCACGGTATGTACAAGCATCGAATTCCTTGACTTGGCCGGAGCCGCGTGTGCAACAATGGCGGTTCGCACAACCTGTATTTGTTACAATCAATTAAATTCCGGCGAATTCACGCGACAATCGTCAACGTTATCGAACGTGCAGGTTGGAAAAGAAATTGCGCGTTCAACGATTCTTCTTTCGACAATCTTCCTCGAAAGATCGTTGTAGGATCGTTGTAATTTCATTCGACATCATTGGGATATATTTTATCGTGATTCTGCATCGTTGAATTATTATGCCAAACACTAAAATAAATAAATATTAACAGATATGTATACCAAAACTAATGGATATGTATGTGCTAATACTAAATACCAATGCAGTATCAAAAATACAGTGGCCAGATCGTTTTTGCAATTTTTTTTTTCCCACGAGAAAAGCTTTATTATTATTATATTGCATTTATTATTATTATTATTATTAGTATACAATATTATAATTATTGCCTTCAATATTATAACATCATTATTATTATATTTATTATTGTTATAATAAATATTTTTATTACACATGATTCTATCACAGTTAATATCTTTTTTTTTTTTCATACGAAAGATCTAAATATTGTTTCTCAATATAAAAAAAAAAAAAAAAAGAAACTTCAACTTGACTGGGACTTGTTGAGATGTTTTATACATACAATCGAATTTCCAAGATCGTCAATCAATCGCCTCCTCAATCTGAATTTCCCCGCCGTCTCTACCGCAATTGCCAATGTTTCTTTATCGCGGTACTTTACGATCGCGTCGTTTGCATTAAAAAGTAACCGACGTTTATCCAATACGATACATATGCATGATCTTTCGATTAGGTTTACTACCGAGTGAAAGTAATCTTCCATCTATCGTGCAGCATATCGCATTGTTCAAGGAAACGTTCGTCTCGCATCGGGTCCACTCTCTCTCGTCTCTCCGCCCGGGGGAGAAACCGAATTCACTCGATGAAACCCGAACTCCCGGAAATTATTCTCTTAAATCGTGCTGCTTTCAACGAGGGGGGAGGAAGTGAGCAAAAAAGAAAAAAAAAAAAACGAGAAAATACGCGACGACGGGGAATTATATTTGACGTGAGACGTCGTTCGAAAAATACGTTTCTCTTTCTCTCTCTCAAGAGAGTGTTTCGTGAAAGAAGTTGCTGGAGAGAAATATCCTGTTCTGTTCAGAGACCGATAAGGAAACATCTCTCTTTGTTCGCCTTCTCGAGAAATTATTCTCATTAGAAAAAAAAAAAAAAAAAAAAAAAGAAAAATTGGACGACGACGACGACGCAAAAGTAAGGAAAAGAGGTGAAAATAAAAACTGGAGGAGAACGAGCGTAAGGGGAAAGGAAAGATTCGTATGTACGATGTGTTAGAGGAAAGCTAGATACTATTTGCAGAATGTGATTGTAGACTTTGAGACTGTGTGCGAAAATGTCGTTCAAAATACGCAAGAATTAAATTCTGCTAGTAGTGCGAATCAACGGATCTGTAGACCAATCTTTGTTTCTATCTCGTTATTTGGTCGTTCCGTTTTTCAAGCTACGCGTCTGTTTATTATTATTTATCTGATGGTCATTTTCTATTGAAATACACTTCACAGTCGCGATAGATATGTACTTTGTAAATTTTTCTATAAACGCCGAAAAATCCGGCAAGTGAGTTTAGCGAATCTACTGACAAACTATTGCCTTCTCTTATCGAGATTACAAGTTCAATCTCGATAGTGGCACACGAATCTGCTGACAAATCTCTGCAAGCATTTCATTAGTTACATTTGATATCCAATGCTATAAAAGAATTTAATTTCGGCAGTAGCGCAAGTCAATGACTCTGGCGACAAACCCTTGCCTCTATTCCATTGCATAGCATTTGCTGTTTGAGCTATATTTAATTCTGGCAACAGTACAATTCGGACGAATCTTTCGCCTCTATTTCCGCTGCACGCGTTTGATTCCCGAGCTATAAAGAATTTAATTTCGATAACAATGGAAGTCAATGACGTTGGCGAACATTTGCCTCTACGTTTGATTACCGTGCTATAAAGAATTTCATTTTCAGAGTACCATAAATCACGAACCTCCGTCCTTATTTTATCATTTGTACTTGAATGATCAAGTTAATCTTGAATTCGGATAAAGCATTTTTTAAAATATTCATTGTTGGCGAAGAGCATAACTACCAATACTACTACCAATGACAATGAAAAATTGTCGACAATTTCAATTGATGTAACTTCATAAAAAGAGATCACATAACGATCCATTTGATCTTAGTTTAAAGCACAAAGCTTGTACCATAACAGCCGTGAATTTGTTCTTTTCGGAAATGATTTTACGTCACTTGGCAAATGGGAAACTGAGGGACACGTTTTCCTCGAAAATTGTCAAAATTCAAACGCGCGTAAAAATGTTGAGAAATTTTTCTCAGGACTGAATCTAACACTATCTTGAAGATTGAAATCTTCTCTTTACAACGACCTCTTAAAACTCGCTGTACGATTTTCTTTTCACTATTTTATTGAATTTGGAACGTTAGGGTCAGATGACAAAATGTTGGGATTTTCGAATTTTTGTCGTTTAACATTTCACGTTAAATAAAACAGTAAAAAAAAATTGTAGAGCAAGTTTTGGAAAATAATTGTAAAGAGGAAACTTTAATCTTCAAAACGATGGTGGATCTAGTGGCAAAAAGACATTTTTTAGTATCTTTACGTGCGTTTAAACTTTGACAATATTCGAGAAAAATGTGTCCACAGTTTCCCATCTGCTACGTGATTTAAAATCATCATCGAAAGAAACAAACTCACGACTATCAAGCTTCGCTTCTGTTTAAAGTTATGTCAGCTGAAATTATTCACAATTTTTCATTGTTATTGGTACAATTGTGCTCTTAACTGTGCATCGTACTTTCTCTTTTCCAAATATACCTAAATATTTATACCTACGTTCCTCGAGACACGCTTGTTTCACGGAATACCGAACAATAAATAATAATTAACCTTCCGATGCACAGAAACGCACTTCCTTGCGAAAAGCGTGACCCCAAACGCTCAAACGATCCGTTTTAAAACACGCGCTTAACTCGAAGGCACTTCACCCTTCTCACGTCTTTCTCCCGTCCTTTTCCGGTTCCTCTTTTTTCTCTTCCCACGTACAGCTTCTTTTTACATCGTTTTTTTTTTTTTTTTTNTTTTTGGATACACGCCGGCGCGAAAGCCCCGCTCAAACAGCGATTATCGAACAAAATCCACGAGCAGCCGCCGCGAGCGTGCGATTCACTCCTTTTGCGCGCGACGCGTCGTTAGCGGTCATCGTGCCCTTTTGCTCGCGCGATTTTCACCAGCGCTTGCCGAACGCGCGCCGAATGCAAGAACCTGCGGGATTTTAAAGTTTCTGGGAACGAAGATACGGTGAATTGGCCGAATTTTCCGAATTTTGAACGCGATTCGTTCCGCGTTCGTGGTTGAAATTCCACGCCTGACGCGGACGATTTTACAATGTGATTTTCATTCACGCGAGAAAGAAAGCAGCGAATTTAGGTTGGAAATGGAAATTTAAGGGAGAAGAGAAAAATGTGACGGATTCACGTCGCAAGAGGTTGCAAGTACGCGAAATATTCAAAAATTTTGTATCGTCAATTTTGGTACCAGAGATCAGATTTATAATGATTAACCGTGAGTGAAAGAATACTGTGCGATAATGTTTGTTAATAATATGTAATAATATTTTGTAATAATGTATACAATATATAATAATATTTAATAATAATATATATAATAATATAAAATATAATAATATTCTATAACAATGTACACGATATGAATCTAAATTTATTATTACTGTATTATTGTATTATTTTCTCTGTTAGGACAAATATCACGTTAATAAAAAAAATTAGGAACATTCGCGTGAAAATTTACGAAACGTGCAATAGATACGTATATACGGTCATAATATTAATTAAATGGACGATCCGAATTTAAGTAGCAAATATGATTATCGAGCAACAGCGAGTTGCATTAATTTGTTTGGAAACAATGTCTGCAGCCCGTACACGTTGGAAATCGAGCTTCAGTTATTATTGCATCGCCCATTTTATCACGATATCAGCCGAAACATTATTTCATTTATCATTTTACAATACTACGTCGAAACATTTCCTCTTCAAGATGATTATAATGTACAATTACTTTTATTGGTCTTTTAAAGGTCAAAATCCTTCCGGTAAGTAAATTATAAAAACGCTTACCGGATCGTAGTAGCATAAGTGATGTAATTCCAGGAACGTGCAACGACAGACAAAAGTCTGCCATGTAAAACGTCACGGTTTCAATCAGTATTATATACTTAATGAATCGATACCTCGTTACATACTACGACGAAACACTCGAGGCACTTCGAAGGAAACGCTTCGACTTTGTTCGATGCACAAATGTCACGATTCACCGAAGAAAATGTATGATGAAACAAATTCATCACGAATTGCCTGCGATTTCACCTCGATTCGAAAGAACTCCGCTAGTGGTATACTCGAGAGAAATTACTCAACTTCAATCGCAACGCGTAATTATCTTTCTGATGACCGGTCTTCTCTTTCTCTTTCTCCTAACGAAAGAACGAAAAAGAATGAAAAAAATTCTGGAAACCTCGCGGCAGGGACGCCTCTTTTTGATGAAACGTGGCCCGTGATTACACTTCGTGGTACTTTGTAATTTCGATTCGCACATACATACATATATATATACATATAAATGCAACGCTATTAATGCACTCCGTCTCTGAGGGGCTTTCACGCATAACTTTCACCCCCGCAATTTCCCCCGACCGGACAGACCCCAGGCCGCCATTTTTATCCGCGCATTACGCCACCATCGCGAGGTTTTTTTTTTCAATATGCAGT